GCATACACCGCCCCGATCATTTCATCTCCATCTACAGCTGAATGGACAAATTGTACTCTGCGGTACCAGCATGCACCTAGAGTCGACTATGCTACACTTTACACTGTAAATGATGTCCTGCTGTCATTGCACTCTCTGTAAATGTGTGTATGTTCAGAGTACACCAAGCTTACAGTAGCAACATATGTTTAAATACAGCCCTCATACCAAGCTGAATCATAAAATAGGATTAGAATAAACAGATTACACCCTCCTAGCCCAAAGTCAATTCTGGATAAGCACTTCTGAGAAATACTATCCTCCACATCCTGCTGCTAACTGAATGAAATGTGAGAGTGAAGCTACAGAGAGAAAGCTGGATGCACCAACAACAGCTCAGAAATCCTGCAGGCTCTGAACACAACAGGTCTGAGAGGTTTACTGACATGTCCCTCTTCCTGCCATGTGGGGCTGCTGTTGGGTCATTTGCGTAGTGCAGATTTAAGTGACTGTGAAAGAATTTGCGCCTCTTTTTAATTGTTCCACACACAGGTCTATGTGCTGGGACAATAACATCATAAAATGGTTCAAGGTCATCTTTTGAGGCTCTGTACTTTTTTTGTGAAAATATCAAATAATTACGTTTTTTTTCCAGAATGTGGAAATGAATGCCAGAATGTTTAAAGCAGGTTATTTAACAGTTGGGTTTTGTGAGTTAACATGAGGAGTTAAACTAATGCTTAATGGTTTAAGGGCTATAAGTATAAGTCAAAAATAATGTGTTTAATAATTTATTTGAAAAGAGTTAATTTCTTAAATAAATTGGAGATTTTTTTTAAATGTATGTTATAGAGTTAGGTAGTTCATTTGCATTTAAAAGCTACAGGCACAGAATCAGTCAGATCTGTTTGGTATTTCGAGCCAAACACTTCAGAGACATGTTTTGTGTTTATCCGAGACCTATAATATATTGTTGGAAAGGAGTATAATAGGGGACCTTTAAAAGAAGACAAACAAAGGAAAGAAGTTGTGCGATGTGCCCTCCAGCTTTTCAAGTTCAGGCATTGAAAGAAAGCCAACAAAGCCAGAACACTCAATAGTGTTGTTGGAGTTGATCTAAGCAGCATCATTTAGATAAAGCCATGAAGGTTCTAAACTCTAGAACATCTTTCGTACAATAAAACTCTAAAAGGGAGACAACTCTTCAATGTATTGACTGAAGATGTGAGCAGGTGGCAGAGGAGAGCAGATCCCAGAGGATCTCTGGTTACACAGACGACAGGTGGCAGAGGAAGAAAGACAGAAAGTAAAAGAAGAAGAAAGGAATAAATAAGGTGTTGAATGACGCTCACTTTGCAGATGCTGAGATCTATCACACATTGTGACTTTGAGACTTCCAACAGGACCCAGTGTGTGACGCCGTCTCATCCTCCTGCAGTCTGTCTGAGTCTCACCGGCTGCAGCACAGCAGGAAACACCTCCTGACTTCATCACTTCTCACACAGGCCTATTTTCATCAGCAATTTCCGCACCTTTCATTGAAACGTGTTTTGAATCATAATTGAATATGCTATATACGGTCATATAGACTGCTTATTTCTCTGCTTTAATGCTGCCATTTAAGCTGTACAAATAATATAAAACATTTTCCCCAGACCGTAAAGCAGTAGGAGCACATTTCAGATAGATCTTCCTGTAAGTCGCTCTGGGGTTCGAATCGTCCAAAGATCAGCTCATATCGTCTTTTCCTAACCACTATTCCTTGACCTCTGTGTGAAACGTTACGGGCTAAGGAATAGTGGTTAGGAGGTTTCAAAAGGACTTAGTGAAAGACGAGCTTCAAGAGAATCCGACTGCACTTACACTATCAGATGTATTTATGATGTGCCAGGGGATGTTATTAATGTGCGTCTGCTGAGGGGAAACTACAGCTTTCTGTACAGAGGACCTATAAGAGCATCTAGATAGATACTTTGCACCGTGCGCTCTTACGATGTTGTTCTATGCAGGCTTGTTAGCCTTCACATCTATCATTGTCTATAGCACTATTCAAACGTTTTTTTAAACGTTTAAGAAACCGCTCAGTAAACACTGCGAAATGTTGACTTTATTTGTAAAACGCAAAAAAAGTAACGTTCATATTTCTCCAATTTGATTATTATAGTGTTGCACGTTGAACATGATATGCATTTCTCGGTCATGATCAGATGTTTCCGTGAACAGCTGAATGTTGTGTCACGGTTAATGTTGCAGCAAGGTATTGTGGGACAGCATTTTCTCCTTGCATCAATGTTGCATGTAATGTCACCACTGCTAAGCTAAGGCACACTTGTGTTGGCATGATGACGTTTAGTAGTCTCATTTAGACACTCGTTAGCAACCGCCGTGTTAAAGAAACATAGAAGCTTCACACATTCACAGTGGGGTGATTACTGACAGATTTGATGTCGTAGAACAAAACCTCTTAGTCTTCAGCTTGTTTTAACCAGACCTTATTTCAGGCATCTAACCAAAGACACATTCACAACACCATTGAATTCAAACTGAGGGGACCTGCGGACTGGTGAGTCTTGAATGTACACCGTACCAGAAAGGAGGGGGTCTTGGTGAGTAGAAGTGCTCTTAATAAAAAGCTGAATCCCCCCGAGCCCCAGAGAGAGCTTCCTCTGACATTTAGTGGAAGACGGCAAACAAAACAATGCCTGCAAATATCAGCGAACAAATACAGGCCTCTTCTCCTGAGACATGTTTTCTCTCACCACTAACCTTTACTTAGTCTTAAATGACACACACACACACACACACACACACACACACACACACACACACACACACACACACACACACACACACACACACACACACACACACACACACACACACACACACACACACACACACACACACACACACACACACACACACACACACACACACACACACACACACACACACACACACACACACACACACACACACACACACACACACACACACACACACACACACACACACACACACACACCACACACACACACACACACACACACACACACACACACACACACACACACACACACACACACACACACACACACACACACACACACACACACACACACACACACACACACACACACACACACACACACACACACACACACACACACACACACACACACACACACACACACACACACACACACACACACACACACACACACACACACACACACACACACACAATCTAAAAATGTTATTATATTTTAAAGTTAAAACACAATTTTCCTTTAAATAAAAAATATAAAGAACTTGTCACTTTTACCAGTTGGAAATTAGGCCTGCAACTAATGCAGATTATGGCTTCACAACAATTCAAATGTTATCAACATCTTAACATGGACTAGGGCAATATCTGCCACTTCCTTACAGAGCCCCTCCTCCAACACACACGAACGCGCACATGACCAATGAGGGCACAAGATAAGTTTGTGCACAGATGGAAGGCTGACAGGCAGGTAGGCCATCCAGTTATCGGGATGTTAAGAGCATTCCATGGAATATAACAAAAAGTGTATCTCGAGCCGGTTTCTCAAATGTACCTACACCACCTTTAATAGATTGGTCTATTCAAATGTTTGTAAATTGTAAAAAAAAGAAAATCCAAAGATAATCAGTTAAATATGAGGCTGAATGCACCATGTTCTGCTTCTTTTGTATGAAACATCACTTTGAACATCAGTTGCTGACTTTACAGGTGATCACTTAGTGTATTAGTTGAGTTATCAGTGCAGATAAAGAAGAGATGACCAAAATGAAATGTGTACTTTGATGGCAGCTCTTAGCATAGACTCTGCAGACTAAACGGCACGCTTCACTGGACACATCGGAGCATCTGACCCTCACAGCAGGACCAGCTGTCACTCAACCAGCTCTCCTGGCAACCTGCAGCTGACATTATCCACTTCATAGTTTGTATTGGATAGTATTCTAAGATGACCTGCACGAAGCTCCTGTGCAGCTCACCAAACAGATCCTGTGTGTTTCTCCTACAGTTTCATTTCAATCTTGACCTGAGGAGCTGCAGGAGGCCTTGGACATGGCTCAGATCGGATCAGACTACCCATGATCCCTAGCTGTCTCTGCACCTGTCACTCAATATGGCTGTCTGTGAAGTTTAGCAGACTGCAGACATGGTTTGTGGAGACAATCAGTTTACATGCATTACATTGACATCATGGGTATATTTACATCACTAAGAAGAAGTGACAACACTGAGAGATCGACTGTTTTGTGTGAAACAGCTGGAGAAACAGAGACACAGTGTAATAATAAGCACCCACAATCCTCCATTGTCCCCACAGATATGATCTTTCCTTCAGCAGGTATTTGCATGATATTTGTAAAGCAGGATATGACAGATACAGAGACTGTGACCATCATTTATTCAAATCCCAAAAATGTATCCTGTTCAGGAGCTGATAGATGCAATGTTGCAAATGTAACCATGTTCTCATCCATGATGATAACCAACATCCTACAGGTGTGTTAGTGTTACAGGTGACTGGGTTTAGAGACAGAGCTGTGGACTGAGAGGAACCTGAACATATCACAGGTAAATAACCCTCACAGCATAATACCTGATAAAGAATACAACTCTCTCATAATTCACTCCAACCAAAAACACTACTGTTAGAATATAGAACAGGGGGGAAAGCCTTGAGAATTTTTTTAAGGTGGATACTTTTTTCTTTCAAAAAACCTAAAAAACATTGAATGACGATAAGATACAATTCATTCATAGATTAAATGGCATTCATGTATAATGCATCCAATCAGGCTAAAGTGTGCGGTCACTTAGGCGAATATGCAGAGGGGAAATATTTGTTCTTAAGTATTTTTCAACGAATGCATGACAGTGTCAATGTTGTAGTCGATGTTTGCAAATTTCTGAACACATATCCTCTTTCATGTCTACATGTGTGTGTGTTGTGTGTGTGATGGTTTGTATGGGGGCTCACCGTTGTTGCAGTACTGTAGCAGCAGGTTGGTGCTGTCATACAGGCTCCCACACGAAGAGATCCTCTCCGACATCATTCCCTCTCCTCTGACTCCGGCTTCCTTCCCGGCTCTCCCGCCCCTCTGTCGGCTCCTTTTTCCTCCTTTCACCCCTCTCCGTCTCTTCTTCACGCCGGCAGCCCTTCCTGTCTCCCCCACATTCATAAACAGACAAACACATACACCTGTACCTGCTCCTTCTCCCCTCCACTCTCCCGCTCCTGCCTCTCTGCCAGCATCAAGCTCCACACTATGTCATGTTCTGCACTTCCGCTTAGCACTTTCAAAATAAGAGTCACAGCGAAGCACAACACACCATTTACAGGACTCTGTTGTTGTGCTCCTCCACCCTTTTTTTAAATCAAATTTGTTGACAACATTTAATATTCATATCCGTAATGTATCTCTTTTTGAAAAACGTTTTAATATTGAATCCCCCTTTCCCTCCGTAGGTTAACATAACCTAAAAAAAGATGAAAAAAAAGTGTGTTTCTCAAATGTTGATGCTGAACATGTTGTTCATTCCTCACAGCTGAGCTCAATTATTTCCATCGGTTGGATTTTTCTGGATTTTTCAATTATTTACAACTCAAAGAAAATAACAGTCAAACACTCCACTTTAGCCTATCACATTAATCTCCTAATAATGTGAATTTGACACTATGTCAAAGCCTTTCTGTGTTTTCAACATAATTCTAGTTAAAAGCAATTTCTATTCCATAATTATACAAATATCATGATCACTTTTGGGTCTTTATTGATTCTGCATTTTGAGCTTTATTAGCTGTGCTGATCCTATGAGTAAGTAGGATATTTTATTTCAGTAAAGTATGTACCATTGTATTTATTCATTCATGGATGTGTAGCCATACTATCTTTTGTATATATCCTATGCTTTTATTTTGAAGAGTGAACCATTAGTTTTCCGGTAATAATCAATTTGACTCTCGCTGGCTTGACGAAACTTCCTGGCCTTATCTGCCCTGCCTACCGCTGTTACTATAGCAACAGGCTCTCCACCAGCTTCGGCTCTTGATTATTGGAGGCGGGAGCGAGGCAGATGAACATGACTGTAGCTGATATTTTATGAATCAAACCGGAACTGCTGGTGTCGGTTGCCTTTACGTGCAATTGAAGCTAACGTTTCTGAAAAGAGAAAGGTGATACCGGTGTGGAGTTGTGATCCTGAATAATTCATTGGGAAACGGTGTGGAACCATAGACTATACACACGTGCTCGTAATTTATGCCAAAGACCATTAAGCAGAGCAGGATGTTAAACCCCCTGCGCGGCGGCCATAAATCATGGCATGGATTGGCTTCTCACTGAAATGCTATTCATTTCCCCCAGGCTCCAAGGATAATACACGTTCACGTTCTGTCACAATTTCAAACATGTTTTTGATTTCAGTTGACTAAATGTCTTTAAAAAAAACTGAAAGGTCACATGGCCCATGTCAAAAAAAAGATTCATGGGTTCATATTATAGACATCAGTGTGGCCCACACTGATGTCTATAATATGAACCCATGAATCTTTTTTTTAAATCAGAAATCCTTTATCTGACATACAGCTTGGACATTTACAATGTTTACAGCAAATGGAACAATTATAAATAAGGCTAAATGAATTATTGCTGACTGCTTCTGCCAGTTAGTTATTTTTTAAATAAATCACAGGAAGTAGGCTACGTACTATCTTGTCGTGTCTAACTCATAGACTGTATGGTCTAACTTGACGTTTTACCTTTATGTAGGTCCTAACTGTGACCACTAGAGGGCAGCATACATTCTCAATTCTACACGGTAACTAACACAGAGAAACAAACACTGCAGTTCTACCTGAGTCAAGGTAGAAACTAAGATGTAAAAGTAACAATGTTGTTCATAATAACCTCAAATAATTGTTACTCTCTGTACTGTTGCTTAACTGCTGAATCTGCATCATTGAAATCAGTAAATAAAAACCCTGCTGTCTTATGGGCTAGCAGTGCATTCTGGTGTTCATCCGCTAGATGGCAGTCGTGTTTCTAGATACAATCATGTAATCGGTAAATTATGTCTACTAACACTTCCCGTGAGAATTAAAAAAAATAAAATACATAATCATTGATGCTGAGAAATACTGGATGGACATCTGGGTGGAAATTATGTAATATTATGAAACGGAAAGAGGGGAAAAATGATCCAAAGAGACAATAATGTATGTATATAAATGATCATAGAGTGTTAAATGGAATGCAAGGTTTGTTTAAGTATTACCTGTGGAGGTTCTGTAAATAGTGGAAATGTAAAGCGGAGAAATAAGACATTAGAGCAGCGTTAGGAGTAGGAAAACAACTGGTGAATATGTATGAAGTGTGCAGAAGTATCCATAATGCGCATGCGCCAGTTACGTAGATTTGTTGTTGTCACGTGACAGTCGATTCGAACCACCCACTTTTGCCGAGCAGTTACTTGAAGGTGCTAGAAAATGATGAAATATAGAGAAACACTCTCTGCTGACGTTTGACTCAGATGTATAAAGGCACACGGAAAGCCACCTGATAGCGCTGAATCATTTAAAGCGATGTTCTTGTGGAGCTAAACAGACTTGTAGACCTCTTTGCTTAAAACTACAAACTTAGTTCGCATTAGCATTAGCATCATATTAGGAAGAGGTGTGCCAGCTTCCCGACCACAGACACCACTGACAGTAAGTCCATTTTCAGTCACTAGTATGCGGATACATATGTGTTTGGGAGGGTTTTATTAAAGTATTTATTAAGTGTTATCAAATGTCGATGTTTTGCATGAACAAAGTTGTTGGCCAACTTTCAGCATTTAGCTCAGAAGTTGTTAAATGACCCTCAATAACTAAATGAATGTATACAGCCTCCAGTTAATAAATGCTAGCTTGGTGATTTCACTGCAAAAAAAACAACTAAATGTCCCTTTTACATGTTCCTATAATAACCTGTGAGGCAGTTCCAAAACGTAGTGTGTCAGTGAGTGTGACTGCTGCATTTAGGTTTAATAGATATTTAGGGCATACACCAATTTTAAACATGTGTATGTTCAACCTAAAAGTCACACACTGGGCCTACAGAGGTGGTCACTATCTCTTGTTGCTCGATTAAATCCAACTGTAGATTTAAGTCTTGAAGCCTCTGATTCAGATTTACTGATTTATCCGACTCATGGTTACAAAACACCAGAGGTGGGAGAAGTACTTGTAGATCTTGTTCAAAATGTTACTCAAGTAAAAGTAGAAAAGTATTGGCTTCTTGATCAACTAAAAAGTAACAAAAGCAAAAGTATTCATTCTACAGATACGCCATTTCAGAATAATATATATTATATGTTTTGTTTTTTAATAATTGATGTATTACTGGGAAAGGAAAAAAGAGAATAAAATAATGAAAGAATACTATAATTTAAAAGAAGTAGAATAAACTTCAATAAGGTTAAAATGTAAAGGAAACAAGATAATAATATTACATTTTATTTAAAAATGACCTTAAAGACACTTTTACATATACAGGTTCAAATGACCCCCCCATGTCCTAAACCGTCTTACTCCCTGCCATTAGTCCTGTCAAGCAGAAATGACTCTGACGTTGTCTCTTCCCAGCTGCGTTCAGCATGCGGCCCCGACAGAGGGGGTCCCACATGGGCCTGATGCTGCTGGCCTCCCAGCTATTCCAGGTGGGACTGGACAACATCCCCCCCGTCACGCTGGCTGTGCTGGGACTCAACGTGTATCTGTTCCTGTTCCCTGCAGCGCCTCTCATGCAGGTAATGCACTGATGATAGAGAGTTTTAATGGGACACTGTCGGAAATAACACCATCACATGTTGTAGAAAACACCGTACAATTGATTTTATTAATATGAGTTTGCCTCTGGTAAATGTGTTTTTTATTTTGTCTTCATCTTTACACTCACCTTTGCTCTAACAATGTCATTTTCCCCGCTGTGGTATGAATGAAGGATTTCTGATTCAATTTGCTGCTTTTCTTTCTCCCAGTAAGTAGAAGCTGAAAAAATAGAATTATATCCGATCTAATTCAACAAAAAATAGAACTCTACAAGATTTTAAAAAGGCGAAAACTCAATTTAAAATTATAAGCAAACTTATATTGTACTTTGTTGTTAGATAATAAACTTGAAGGAATACAAACATAAACATTTCATGACTTTGATCATCCTTTAACAGTCCACAACAGGTGCCATCCAGACAGCTGTGGAGCTTTGTGGGGCGGAGTATTGATACGCTTGTAGCAATAACACTTCCCCAAGGCATGTTTCCTCACTCCTCTCCTCTGGAAGCCTCCTCGACTCCTCTGCATCTCAGCAACTGGGACGTCTTTCAATATGGCGTGTGCTGATGGAGAAAGAGGGGTGGAGTCGGGACATTGGGATGATCCTTGGCTCTAACAAAAACAAATTCTGTGTTTCCTCTCTCAGGCGTGTGTGAGTGTGCAGCAGGCCTACTGGCGGGGGGGCTGGCGCCGCCTGCTGCTGTCCCCGCTGCACCATGTGGATGACTGGCACCTCTACTTCAACATGGCTTCCTTCCTCTGGAAAGGGACCAACCTGGAGCGGCGGCTGGGGGGCCCCTGGTTCCTCTACCTGCTGTGCGTCTTCTCTCTTCTCACCGGGGGGGTGTACCTGCTGCTGGAGGCCGCGCTGACAGAGCTGACCCAGGACCAGTCCTACAGCATGGCCTGCGCCGTGGGCTTCTCAGGTACAGCGAGTCTAACAAACTCACACACAAAGCTGGGAGATCTGTATTAAAGATTGGACTTTAGATGTAGCACAAAATGAAAATGAGAAATGACATTGTCTTAAACGGGAAGCTTTATAATACAGAGAAGTATGTATTTATTTATAAATGAGTAGGTTATGGATTGAAAGGTAACAGGCTAAAGAAATAATACAAATTATTTTATAGTGGTGTTTGAAGACTTTGTTTCTTTTGAATATGTTTTCTCTAGGCAGCCTCCTTGTGGTCTGTCATATTTGATGCATTCATTTCTGTATTCATATTTGTACGTTTAGATTTTCGTCTGTGAAGGTGTAGCAAAGCAATATTATATTGTAGGCCTGTACGATTTGGAAAAATACTCATTTGTGATTGATTTTAATTTTTGCGATTTCAATATTCCCTTAGTCCAGTGGTTCTCAAACTTTTTCTGTCATTCCCCACTTTGGCCTTTTCAAGCCCCACCTGCTCCTCATCGCTCCAATAAAATGACAGGCCAAGCTTCAAATGGTCAAATGTATCGTTCTATAACAGGGGCCTTTTTTAGGATGAGAGCTACTTTCACAAAATAAAACAAGTCGTGAGCTACTTTAACTCCTCTTTTTTGTTTTTTTGCAGTGTATATATTTAGCACATTTTAACATTATTATATGCTGACCTTTAACCTTTGTGTGCTGTTTGGGTCTGTGGGACCCTTTTCAGCGGCGCTGTGAAAGTCCACCGCCGTTGCGAGTCTCCGGCTGTAACAGTCCACTACCGCCCGCGAGGACCCAGGTTCGATTCCGGCCTGAGGTCCAAAACATTTATTTAAAAAATAAAATAAAATAAAGATAATAATCTCCCGTTCATCGCGTCCATTCGCGACCCACCTATCACATCTCTGCACCCCACACTTTGAGAAACGCTGAACTAGTCCCAATTGCGTTATCGAAAAAATATCAATCATTTGTGCAGCCCTATCACGTTTCAGTAACCCATGTATCATGTCTTCTCACACTACACAGCCTATGGCAACACCTTCTAACTGTGTGTGTGTGTGTGTGTGTGTGTGTGTGTGTGTGTGTGTGTGTGTGTGTGTGTGTGTGTGTGTGTGTGTGTGTGTGTGTGTGTGTGTGTGTGTGTGTGTGTGTGTGTGTGTGTGTGTGTGTGTGTGTGTGTGTGTGTGTGTGTGTGTGTGTGTGTGTGTGTGTGTGTGTGTGTGTGTGTGTGTGTGTGTGTGTGTGTGTGTGTGTGTGTGTGTGTGTGTGTGTGTGTGTGTGTGTGTGTGTGTGTGTGTGTGTGTGTGTGTGTGTGTGTGTGTGTGTGTGTGTGTGTGTGTGTGTGTGTGTGTGTGTGTGTGTGTGTGTGTGTGTGTGTGTGTGTGTGTGTGTGTGTACACGTACACGTACACAGGTGTCCTGTTTGCTCTGAAGGTGCTCAGTAACCACTACCACCCTGGAGATGTGACCCGTGTGATGGGCTTCCCGGTGTCTAACCGCTACGTGAGCTGGGTGGAGCTGGTGCTGATCCACATGATGTCACCTGGGTGAGTTACCTGTCAAACGTCTGCAGAAAATAATCAGGATTCACTCCGCAGATCTGCTGTAGAGATAACAGAACTCGCTTGATGCATGTTGTGGAGCAATGACCCTGCTGGGTTTAGTGCTTCAGAAACACATATAAATCAGAAATCCTGTATATGTCCTGCAACGGGGAGATGTACATTATTAAACAGCAGATACTGTAGACTTAAAGTCAAGGTAAAGTGAGAAAAATAATACAATTGCTAAGCAAGCACATGTTTTTAATAACACAATAAGTAAAAAAAATAGCAGATATGTACACCATGGTAGAAGAAAAGTGCCCATATTGAATTAAAGAGCTAGCTGGTACTGTATGCCAAATTGTAAGTAAACTGAGATAAATAAACGTGGAATTGCAGGATATCTGTATATTTACAGACAGTGTTATTGCACATCAGGGGTATTCCAGTCTGTGTGTGTTTTATCCCTTACTCACCAAACGACACTCATGTTTCGAAGTTCAAAGATAGAAGGTTGTCCCTATTTTCTCACAACTTGGCAAATGTTGGACTTAAAAAAAAAAAGGTGAAACAAAGTAATTGCAAACTATATGTCATGAAGTTTGATTTTTAAATACATTTACGGAGTGTTGATTTTGATTTGTATTTAGTCATTAAAAAGAGTTAAGAAAAGTCAATAATATTCATGAGTAAATACAAGTTGCTAAAGTATTTAAGGTAACAAACGGTATCACACAGTTGTTCTTTAGATAAGTTTCCCTTTTGTTACTACATGCTGTCACGAATGAAGGTGTCCACCAGGTGGCAGTGTTTGAGTAGTCAGGAGTTACTGTGTGTCTCCTCAGGACCTCTCTGATTGGTCACCTGGCTGGGATCCTGGTGGGTCTGCTCTACACGTTAGGACCCCTGAAGGCCGTCATGAAGAAATGTGCAGGTCGGAATCCATCAGATTCTGTGTTGCCTTGTAACATGTTCAAAACCCACTCTATGGTTAAAGATATATGAATAAATAAAGATAACGGTTTCATTTTCCTTAATTCTTTAAATAGATTTAGTTGTGATTCAGGTCATATACTAGCCTCATGGAAGCTCTCAGTTTCAGTATCTATAAATACTAGGTGACATTTCATGTGTTAATAATAGAACAATACTGGAGAAACATTAAAACACTATGTTTGTCCTAAAATGGTCTCTTTATCTATATTTCACCAGGCTTTGTTACATCGAGCGGATATAACTCCCGACCCAGTGCATACTACAACTCTTCAGGCTCTACAGGTACCAAAGCATTCAGTCATTGCATGTACATACGTTTAGCTAGAATTTCAAAGGAATTTGATTGTATCTGTGTGTCCAATGCAGGGTGAGCGCATGCCGTTGCATGTCACCCTTTTTCTTTTTGCATCACCATTGTTGTCCAGACGCTGCAAGCGTTTCGAGTTGAAAATATTTAACATTTTCAGAAAAGCACCACTGATGTCACTGCAGAAATTGGATGAAAAACTTGTTTTTCGACGTGTTTGTCAGACAGAAACAATAACAAAGATAAAAAAGGCTGTTTGATGGGACCCTGATGCTCGCGGTGAGTTTTGTACTTTTATCTCCAGATGAGGATCGACGTCTTGCTCTATGACTGACAGACTGAGCTGTGAAGCTCATTCAGACTAAGTGTGAGAGCAAGCAACTCCTGTCGGTGCTCATTGTGAAAAAAAAGAAGTAGTTCCACACACAGAACATAGAAATCAGACGGTATTGAAAGACTGACATTTGGTATTTGTTGGTCTTTTCACACAAGCCTTAACCTTTTTAAATTGTGTTTCATTGCTTATTCCATATTGCATGTGTGTGTTTGCAGGCTACAGGAGCACTGGTGGAGGATACTCAGGATACCGTCAGAACAATCCTCCAGACTACACCCCCCCCCACACAGCTTCTTATAGCAGCGGACTGACAGAGGAGGAGCAGCTAGAGGCGGCCATCAGAAACAGTCTGAATGACAGGGGTAAGGGAGGAGAGTGTGTGGGGGGAGGGAGGGGGGTTCTAATGACACCTTATCTTCCAATTCATGAAAAGATTTTCATAAGGTTTCAATTAATTTTTTTTAGCTAATTTCTTTTAAATCACTTTTAAAAACTCACTTTTTTACAATTGCTTTTATGTTATTTTACTTGTGTTTTATTACATTATATTTGTTTTACTCTTCATTTTATGAAATATGTTTTAGTTCACGTTATCCTCAAGTTGTACATGTGTTCTGTATTTATGTGAAAGCACTGTGCTACTGTATATAAATAACGTGTATTTTTTAAAACAAGGCAATTCCAAGTGCTTAACAGAAGAATATAATACATATAAAATTACATTTAAATACATTGAAAAACAGTCATTAAAAATATCTTATTATTGTTTTTAAACGTAAAGCCTTTGGGCAAAGTTAAAATAAAAGAAGACCGGTAAAATACAAAAATAAAAGTTACAGTTCAGTGTGAGATACAAAAAAGTGAATAAACCGGCAGCATTCAGTTTGGATTTGAAAGTTGTGAGGGTTACAGTGGACCTGGAGTTTCCTGGGACTTTGTTCCTGATCGATGGAGCATAATAACTGAACCCTGCTTCTCCATTTATTTTTCTGGGGACAAAAAGCAGACCTGAGGGTTCATAAAAGCCAGCTAAAAGCTAAAGTGTCTAAATCTAATGATGTACTGTTTTGTAGGACAAAGCAGCCAGAGAGGAGCTCCTCCTCCCTACGGTCTCCACCTCTCTGATGAGGCCAGAGCGGAGGAGATCAGGTTGAGGAGACTGAGGAGGTTTGACAGCTGAGCTGTCGGCAGCGAAGAGGAAGAAGGAAGTGAAGGTGACAAGAGAAGAGGAGGAGTTCCCCCTGAAGCTCCAGACTTCACAGGATGAAGGTCCATGCACACAGACTGACCCCTTCATCAGCTCGGTGACAGAGTGCTGCTCTGACCCGAGCTACGCTAAGCTACTTTAATGTGAATATGCTTATGAGCAGGTAAGGGTGAGATTGTCTGGTGATGAGGACTCCAATGGGGAATTAATAGGACATATCAAATGCCTTGAAGCTTTTTTGATGTTGTATTTTGTACATTATTTTGTATGTATGAAACATATACAGATAAAAGCAACTACAGTATGATGAGATGCGGCAATTCATTTAATCCAAAGGAAATTGGCTCCGCGATAAAAAAAGTATAAACCCTAAATGCTGAAAGTTGTTTAAAACCCAATTTTAGATCTGCATAATATTCATTTCATTTGCGAAAAAATACATACTTTTCTTCCAAACATATGTATCTCAATCTTGACTTATCTAGTATATCTATATATTTTTACCAGATCTTGTTTACTCATGGTGGAGAAAAAACTGTAAAATAATCTATTTTTTTCTGTTCTCACAAATGGAATATAGAATAAAAAACATGTTCTAATATGGACTCCAATTACATTTTCTTTAATGAGATATAAAGTCGGTAAAGCTGATTGACACAAGCCATACCCAAATGTTTACAAAAGATTGCTTCCCCATTCAAACAAGCTTTTATTTGATTTGCAAAACACAACACCACATGATGCCAAATACTCATGCATAATAATGACACGTTTAATGCTGCCTTGATGGTACACATCTGGTTTCAAGAAGGCCCAGTTGGCTTCAGCAAAGACATGACTCGGTTTTAAGCTGTTATTACATATATTACTTGCGTCTTAATACATCATTTTTAGGAATAGCATTAAGTGAATTAAGCGCAAAACTTTCTAAAACATCCCCACACGACAGTGACAGTGGCTGTAAGCAAAGTTTAAAAATCAACGTGAAAGAAGTACATTGCTGGCTCCAATTCGCCTAAAGCCCTGAGGCATGATGGGAAGTAGGACAGCTTAAATTAGAGCAAAGAAACCCAACGAGCCATTATCGGTCTAAAACCATGCTGCAGTATACGCAATGAAACAGTGCATACTCATGTTATCAGAAGAACGAGTGGGGGGTGTCAAATAACCAGAATCAAAAGTCATTTTTATTAATATACACTGAAAAATCTGAAACATTGATTTGATTAAATGTATTATGTCAGCAGATTTCACATAACTGTATTAGGTTAGTTGAAAGCAATCATAATAAGTTTAAATAAAAAACATTAGGTTCAACTTAATATTATTGCTTTCACCTAACCTAATACAGTTATGTGAAACCTGTTCACATAATACATTTAATTAAAGTCAACGTTTCAGTTTTTTCAGTGTGGACCCAATATCAGAGGTTTTTTAGTTTAACATGAGTCAGATTTGACAGTTTGTTTTGCATGCTGCCGAGGGGAGGGTGGGAGCCGGGTGGAGAGGCCCTGGCAGAACATGAAGGGTGGGGGCTGCAGAATATGAAGGGTGGGGGCTGCAGAGTGACGGAGAGATGACAGGATGGGGACAGGATGACAAACAGAGCGCCGCTCACAGCAGGTGCCGTCTGCCTGTAGCATGAGTGCATTCCAAAGCTGCTCCTCGATGTGTCGCTGGCTTTATGACTCTTACTGCGTCTCAGTTTGTCATTGTACATCACACGTGTCTGTGAACACATTCAGAACATCGCTCAACCTGCTGTCACGCTGCCACCGAGCAGCAGAGATGAAACTGTGAGGTACACTCGATTTTTTAAGTTGATTTGAGCATTTAGTCTTCATCAATAGTCTATCAACAAAGGATTCAGGTTTGAGCCCTTTTGAAGGGTTCTTCAGCAAGCTTCTGATTCCCCACTGCCAACTGTACCTGAATCAGTTTACCTCATATCAGTTAAGTATGAGTTCTATTCAAGGTGTCATGGTTGCAAGCACAAAACAATATGACATGAGAAGCTGTTTGTGTTATTTCTTTAGCACTAGTAACCAAGAATGTAATAAGCCAATCGCAGAGGCAACAATTCATTAATGTCTTAACATACTTTTGTTATCATAACATGGCAACAAAAATGCAGAACAGGAACATCAGATGTTTTCTTCAGCATAACCTTACTAAATTAGGCAAACTGTTAACCTGCTTTTCTGTAAAAAGTGCTGTTTGGCCTCAATAAAACTTGTTTATACATGTGATTTTATTGTTTTCTCCTTTTTTAATAAACCAAGGCAGGGATTTCCTGTGCGTAAATACAGGAGCACATGTTTCTTTATCAGGGAAACAATGTCAGCCATGTTACATTTAGAGAGTTTGTTTGTTGCAAGGCTGTAAGAACAGATGGTTTCTTCTTATGTTCAGATAGTAAAGCCTTATAAGGTATTGGGCAATATAAAACAGTTTGATTAATTAAAATAATTTAATTTTTTAATATATGTATATATATATATATTTAGAAAAAACTATCCATCCATCCTTCCTCATCCAGTTATCCGGAGTCAGTAGGCGGAGTAAGCAGTTCCAGTAGAGGGCCCCAAACCTCGCTGTCCCTGGCCACATCACCCAGCTCTGACTGGGGGATTACAAGGTACTCCCAGGCCAGCGTGTAGATATAATCCCTCCACCTGGTCCTGGGTCTTCTTCCAGCTGGACGGAGCGGCCAGATTGCATCCTTACCAGATACCCGAACCACCTCAACTGGCTCCTTTCTATGTAAAATAGCAGTGGAAAAAGGCATTTTGGTTGCTTGTATCTGCAATCTCATCTTTCAGTCATGTAGAAAAAAGAAAAAAAAATAGTGTGGAAGAAATCATTTCTACTGATAAAGATCATAAAAGGTATTTAATAGAGATCTGCACTGAAAAAGTTCCAATGTTCGATTAAAATGTCATCTTTCCAACATGGTGACCTTGAAGCTGGTAAACAAACACCATGACAGGGAATCTATTTCACACAGTGACATGTAGGTGGGCTGAAAACCTGCTTGTGCCGGACCTGAAATACCCCTTGGCTCCCACTGAGCTTATCAGAGGCGAGCCACCCCACTGCCATTTGCTGCATAACCACTCTGAACCCTAAGACATTTTTTTACCTCCGCTCAATCCAACGTGAAGGTCAATTAGTCTCTGCATCTGCCTGAGCCAGCGGAGATCACAATAGACTCCCACTGGAGCAATAAATGTACCAATGAAACAAGCGTTTGATCACATTTTCTTTCTCCCCGCAGAGCAGTGATTAACTTCATCATACTTAAATCCTGCTCAGCAATTCATAAAGTCTCGTGGAGAATGGTATTAACTTGTGCAGAGGTATAAGCCCAAGGCACATTTTTAGAACAGTTGTATCGCTCGTGTGCCAGAGTTTCAAGCTGCCATTGATACCTAAAGAAACTTTCCACACTATTTATAGGATAATCTCATGAAATCCCCCATCACACACACCCTCATTTATAATTATCCTGCTGACTTTGTTCTCTACTCTCCCCGTTCTTCCCTGCCCTGTAGTGGATCCTAATGGAACTTCCTGCTACGCTATCAAAGGCCCTGTACACCCACGCCAGTGTCTTCACTCATTATCGTTGATTAGAGCTCTGTTCAACAGGACAGAGGAGGAGTTGTCGGTCAAACACACACATACATGTTTAGAGGATGTATCAGGACCTCTGAAAAAACGTGACAAATGGGGACATGTCTTCCCAAGGTCAACGAGACCTGGGAAATTTAAGTATTTTATATCCATTCTCCTAGAAACACATTAATCTGCTGAGATTTTGTTAAAGGGCATATTCATTAGAGCCTATTCATATGTTGATACTACAAAGTATTTAGTTTAGAGAATTGAAATAGCTAACTTAAAAAGCTATTAACTCCCACTTGGAGGGGAGTTATTGGGAGGAACGGCCCCCCTGATCTGAACCGGAGTGGTGGTTTGTTACTGGACTTCTGTGCTAGTCATGGATTGGCCATAACAAACACCATATTCGAACATGCTCATAAGTGTACGTGGTACCAGAGCACCCTAGGCAGAAGGTCCATGATCGATTTCGTTATCTTATCATCGGACCTGAGGCCGTATGTTTTGGACACTCGGGTAAAGAGAGGGGCAGAGTTGTCAACTGATCACCATCTGGTGGTGAGTTGGGTCGAGTGGCGGGGGAAGCCTCTGGACAGACCTGGTAAGCCCAAACGTGTAGTGCGGATGAACTGGGAACGTCTGGAGGAGGCCCGAGTTCAGGAGGCCTTCAACTCACACCTCCGGCGGAGCTTTTCGGGCATCCCTGTGGAGGCTGGGGACATTGAACCAGAGTGGGCGGTGTTCAAAGCCTCTATTGCCGACGCCGTGGCGGGGAGCTGTGGTCTCAAGGTCTTATGTGCCTCAAGGGGCGGTAACCCTCGAACCTCCAGGTGGGCACCAATGGTCAGGGAAGCCGTCCGACTGAAGAAGGAGGCCTTCAGGGATATGTTATCCCGGGGGAGTCCCGAGGCAGATGCAAGGGACCGACAGGCCCGAAGAGCAGCAGCCTCAGCCGTGGCCAAGGCAAAGCAGCGGGTGTGGGAGAAGTTCGGAGAAGCCATGGAAAAGGACTTTCGGGCGGCACCAAAGTTGTTCTGGAAAACTATCCGACACCACAGGAGGGGGAAGCAGGGAACCATCCAAGCTGTGTACAGTAAGGATGGGACGCTGTTGACCTCAACTGATGGAGTGTTAGGGCGTTGGAAGGAACACTTTGAGGAACTCCTGAACCCGACAACTCCGCCCTCTATGGTAGAGGCAGAGCTGGAGTATGACGGGGGATCAACATCAATCTCCCGGGGGGAGGTCACTGAGGTCGTCAAACAACTCCACAGTGGCAAAGCCCCCGGGGGTGGACGAGATCCGCCCAGAAATGCTGAAGGCTCTGGGTGTTGAGGGACTGTCATGGTTGACACGTATCATCAACGTTGCGTGGAAGTCGGAAACAGTACTGTAGGAGTGGCAGACCGGGGTGGTGGTTCCCCTTTTCAAAAAGGGGGATCAGAGGGTGTGTGCCAATTATAGAGGCATCACACTACTCAGCCTCCCCGGGAAAGTTTACTCTAAGGTACTTGAAAGGAGGGTCAGGCCGATTGTCGAACCTCAGATTGAGGAGGAACAATGCGGATTCCGTCCTGGTCGACGGATCAGCTCTTTAATCTCGCAAGGATCCTGGAGTTGGCCTGGGAGTACGCTTATCCGGTCTACATGTGTTTTGTAGATTTGTAGAAGGCGTATGACC